ATTTTACGAAATATTATCAGGTTAATTTTTAAATTAATTTTAAATTTTAAAATTTGTTCATTTTAAATCCATTTATCTGAGCACTGGATTAATGTATCAAGATAATTCCAAATGGGTTCGAAAGATCTTTCAAAATTCTAAAAATAGTTTGCTTGCAACCAGGCTGTAATTATTGTGCCTTGCATTCTATCCTAGGTATAAATATTTTCTATGTATTTAATTAACGACAGGTTTTATTGTTTTACACCTTTACCTGTATAATGAAATTACATAGAAAATATTTATACCTAGGATAGAATGCAAGGCACAATAATTACAGCCTGGTTGCAAGCAAACTATTTTTAGAATTTTGAAGGATCTTTCGAACCCAGAATTTTAATTTAGACATAAGTTATTGAGTTTGGCATCATCTTTTTATTATTAACTATACCTATTTTTCTGGGGATATTTCATTAGTTTTATCATTGAAATAATGAATAAATTAATCTAATATTGACAATCAATAATAAAGGTTATTTTATCAAATCATAAGATCAATTTAGTTTGAATTTTCTTATTTTTATGAAATATTGTAATCCATTTCTAAAAACACTTATATTTTTATCAGACTTTTTTGGCAAAAATTATATAAGTGTTTTTAGAAATGGATTACAATATTTCATAAAAATAAGAAAATTCAAACTAAATTGATCTTATGATTTGATAAAATAACCTTTATTATTGATTGTCAATATTAGATTAATTTATTCATACAGTATGATTAGTTAATATTTCTATTTACCTTTAAGTTATTAGTAATTTTCATATAATAATAAGAATTTCCCTTCTAGTATCTATCAATCAATTGTAATTTGTTTGTTCAAGGTGTTTACTATTTTAAATTTTATCAATTACTAACATTACTGGTGAAATTGATAACAAAACAGGAATTGTTATTATTGATAATACGAACATAAACCATGTAATTTGCTCAGGGTATAAAATGCGCAATTTATTAACAAAAGAGTATAATAAAAGTTAGTTGCTCTTTAACTAATAAACAGCTTGAATTTTATTATATTAGAAAAGTATTATCATATTATTTGTATCATCATGCGTGTAATGATTGTCGTATTGAGTACATTATTTGTCTTGGTCACTTTTGGTAAGAACTATAGTTAAATACTTAACTTTAATATCAATTAATTTAATTTAATTAAATATTAATAAACTTTATATAATAGTTGTAATGTAATTCTTAATAATTAAATAATTTAAATAAATAACAAATATTATTAACCCAGTAGCTATAAATATTTTACAAAACTATATTTACGATTATATAAACATTATAGAAAATATGTAAAATTATTTTATTTTCAATATTTAGGCGACTCAATAAGTATCAAGGAAGATTTCTCGGAGACTATGACCAAGGAATCTACAGATGTGGAATCATTCGAGCAAGGTAATACCATAAAAAATTATTTTTAAAAACTTATATAACATTATTGTAATTAACGATTATTAATGTTAATATGAGCCAGTCAAAGCCAGACTATGTCAAGTCCAAATGCCATTACCTTGCAATGAACTGTAACTAAAATTTTATGATAGGTATTATATTAAACTTTAATACCTATAGTTCATTGTAATGTATTAGCATTTTGACTTGACATTGTCTGGCTTTGACTGGCTTTGACTGGCTCATATGTCTACATTGTGTTATAGCCCTAAATGTGACCATGTTCAAAGTGGGCGCACGTAACTGCTGGGAGTGTTCGTACCCGTGCAGGGGCAGGTATTGTTGTGACGGCTATTACCCGCAGTGCTGCCTTGTTGGCAACAGTTGTATGTGTTGTCACGTATAACCATGGCAAACATCATCAGGGTGCAATCATTTTTTATGTTTAAAAAAGATAACTGATAAACTAACTGTTAACAACAAATTAATTATAATCATTAATTAATTATACATTCCAATGTTATTTTTAAGTTACTTTATTATTATTTAAAAATTTTAATTTTATTAATTTTTGTAATTAATAGTAAAATAAAATTTTACTTTGAGTTTTAACAAAGTATAAACAACATTGTGTCAACGGATGAGTCTCTCCACCAGGGGAAATACGCATTGTGCTTTATTATATATAAGAAGTACTGTACTTGCGGCTAATTAACACGAATTAACTAGTTTGGTTTATACTGTATATTGTGTTTAAAATTTTATTTATTTATTAATCAACTCTAACATAGTTTAAGTTATTAATCAAATCATAATGAAATAAATTTTAATTTAATATTTTTATACAATACGTATATTATCATATTTTCGCAGCAAAATTAAATTGAAATTAATTTTTAATATCAGTATAATAATTTTAAAAATCTAATTATAATTAATGCAAAATTCTAATATATCATTACAAGTTTTAGTTTTCATATTTATATGTAAACTGGGATATAAATCTAAAATTATCTATTTATTTTATTTATAATTTTAAATTAAATGGTAATTATATAACAAAAGTTATATTGAATTATTAATATATTGAATTCACATTTTAGTCTCCAGTGTATTATGGTTAAACTATTATGAATTGATTTATTAATTATTAAAATTATTTTATTTAAAAGACATCGATATACTATCTGGCATCACAAAGGACGAGGGTCATATGTTAGCCATACTATCTTATCCTCAAATACTATCCAACAATTTCACAGAAAATGCGTTCAACACAGCACTCAACCAAATGAATGAAGTCTTTCATAACATACACATCGAGACAGTCAGTGAATACTACTTGAAAAATATAGACCCGGATAACTCACACGAAGTGAGCAGGGCATTTTCAAAGTTATATGGGGATGTATTCATGATATGTCCTACCTACTTATTTGCTAAGCAATTTGCTATGAACTCAAACCGGGATGCATATTTCTACATGCTAACATACCAAAGCAATATATTTGGTAGTTTAAAATGGGATGACCATGGTGATGTTGTTCACGGGGCTGACATGGCCTTTGTGTTCGGACACCCGCTTGGTTTACCCTTTTGGAAAATTTGACCCTGACTTAATTGCCAGAAAATTAATTAAAAATAATTTTTATTAAATAATTTTATTAATTAATCAATTGTTTTCCCACTAAATAATTTTATGAAATTCTTTGCATAGTTTAGTAGAAATATAATCTATATTTACAGTTTTATTAATAAAACTTATAATCTAGATTTTATTTTAGAACAAATTTTTCATAGATAATCAAGGCAAGCTCAAATATATTGATTTTTAACAGTATTAATATAATTATATTTCGTTATATACTTTGTGTAATGAAAGATTAATAAATAATTTTGTAAGTTTAACACTACTGTCCATTAACAGTTATATGGTGTACTCAATATTTACAGAAATAATTTATAAATTCATCATTATAGAATTATTAGTTAAAAATTGATCTAATTTAAAAATTTAATGTATTATTATATTAATGAAAAACTTACATACTAATAATGATTTTCGACATTATAATTTAATCTATTCAAATTTTCTTTAAATATCAGAAAATATAAAGTCGTCCGAAAAAAACCGAAAACATTAATTATTATTTATTATTACTAATTAACCTTTGTTATTATTCGTATCCAAAAAGTACAATCCAAAGATTGTTTATCAGTGTTACTAATAGGAAAGCGTAATAATATTTAACTTTTCTTACATTATACGTAACTGTAACAAAAAATTAAAATAATAATTTAGTCGAATTTAATTTTTAAATTATAACGAACATAATAAAATTTATTATTTCCAGTTTAATAGAAATAATAAACTTTTTCATTCAGTTTAACGAACATGATAATAACATTACTAATTTAGCCCCATAAATTAGTAATATTTTATTCATAATTCATAAACTGGAACAAAAATTTTCTATTATATATTTATTGTACTAAACGTTAAATTTGTATTTAAATGGTCTCACCACTACGATTGAAATCTAATGATAATTAAAATTTTTATATTAATCAATTCATAAATGAAATAAATTATAATTTAATATTTTTCACACAATACGTCCATTATCTCAATGTAAAAATTATATTTTCCAACGAAATTAATTTTAAATTTAGTATAATAATAATAATTTTATAAACAAGTATAATAATTTTAAAAATATAATTATAATTTTAAAAAGTTATATTGAATTATTATTACCTTTAATTAACATTTTCGTTTACTATATTTAAATAATTACGGATGTATTTAGCATTTTTAAATAATATCTTTATATAAAGACATCGATATAATATCTGGCATCACAAATGACGATGGTCATAATATTCCAATACATGCTTTTGTGTTAGACTTTATATTAAATTTTAATACATCTAGTTCACTGTAATTACTTGATATAGTCCGGGTTTATTTAGCTCATTATGTTAACCATACTATCCTACCCTCAAATATTATCCGACATTTTCACTACAATTGCTTTCAACACAACGCTCAACCAAATGAATGAAGTCTTTCATAACATACACCCTGTACTAGTCATTTGTCCCATAATTGACTGTATCTTTTTAAATTAAATTTACATCAATTCAGGTAATGGTAGGAAAATAAATAGTAGTGGGATTGAAAGCCTATCAAATGTAGTATAAT